GCAAATAAAAACGAACGTGCTATAGTAGCCCCAAAATCCAAATTCACCCAACTAAACAAGGGCTTATGTTACTACTTCATGACAACGTATTTCATAAAAATGAAGAATTTAAATAAAAGATATAATAAGCACTAGAGTTTTAAATTAACACATGAATAAAAAAATTACAACAACTAATAAGATAAAAGTTTGAATGCTACAATATAGATTTATGATGTCAAAGAAAGCTATTCAACAAGAGTTTATATAAGTTTAGGTTTCTACTGGATAAATATCACACTAAAAATAATAATAAATCCTTAAAAGTCTAACTAGAGGTCCCTAATGAAAGCCTCAACACTTATCCCCACGAGAGGTTAATGCCGACCAAAAGTGGTTATATCTTCCTGGTCTTTCAAACTCTTCTAGAATAAACAACGATTACAAGGCTTAAATATTAATATATTCTCTTAAGGTTAGCTTCATACCCCCATCCTAGATCTAACTTCAAGCAATACCACTAAAATTGATCGATGTAGTGCGCGTTTACCAACGGATGCTAGACTGGCTGGTCAAGCCCTACGGGTGACACCCTCGCGGTCTGGGTTCGATCCTCCACGGGGCAAATTGCAGTGCCTGGAGGTAAAAAAACCACCTCGTCTGCTCCACGTTACAAAAAAGGTCTGGGTTCGATCCTCCACGGTGGCACCCTCGTGGTCTTGTAAGTTGTAACTCATTCAACTCAAAAAGGTATCAACGAGTAAAAATGGTAGTTGTAGGATTATTACTTGAGAAAGCATTATTTTTCAGGTAACAATCCTTATGCGTTACATGTCTTAGTTTTTAGTTGTTAAATGAAGCTCTGCGCTCAACAGGTAGCAAAGTACGATCCTAGATATATTATAAAAATTCGATGATTAGTCAAATACTAAATGACTATTTTCTAAGAAAGCTTAGAATTGAAAATCACATATTAGTGAGGCCCATGTGAGGATAAGATATTTGAAAAAGTGCATTCGACTTATATAATCAATACCTAGGATATTCAGCTAACTACAGTTCAAATTGTAGCTTTAATTTTTTTTACATAAATGAATGCAACTATGTATTTCTAATTTCAGTTCTAACACAAATTTATAGATACATTTACAGCATGCTGGCAATCCCTGAATTTATAGGAATTGATCTAATTACGGGTAAGCTCTTTATTAAGTGTAATCTGAAACATGTTAGCTAGCGTGTGAGCAGGACTATGTAAAGAGGAATTAATATATCTCAAAACCGTAAGTAATTGATTAGGAAATAAGCCATAATACCAAATGTGTTAGGCATAATCCTGATACCAATAGATAGAAAATCTATACAATCAGTTTCAGAATTTTGGGATGCATCATTATTTTTCTATGGATTTTAAAATTTCTTGTATGAACAAGTACATACACACCGAATTATCTAGGTTGTTCTATTCACCTCTTTGAAGCACGGAGAGGCTTGGATGGCCGCTTCAGCACTGCTTCCCTGGCGGTCAGCAACGACACTGCCTGATCAAAGCAGGGGAGAGAAGCTTCACAGGCGACCATGCTGCGGCCGGCTCTGAGTATGGCCTGTCTCCATGTGGATTTTGTAGGCTAGTAGCCCTTCCACGGAAAATCACGAGCAGCCACAGTTGTGGGCTTGTGGCATTCAGGGTTTTTTTTTATCTTAACTCTGTGCTTTGAGCAAGAGTTACAAAATCAATAATCATGTGAAGTTGGACCTTAAGCAAGAGGTGAGTCCAGCAAGTTACTTCCATCTGTCAAGCAAAATAAGACAAAAAAAAAACCTCACTGATCAAGATCCTATTGACAATCATTACTCAGAATGCATTGTTTCCTGTAGTCTATGCAATATTACTCTTTTGTTCCTTTAATTTATAAAAGTCTTTTTAAACCGTGGGGACCTCCCCCACGGTATTTCGCGTCAAAAAAAAATATTGCTCCTGGATCACCAGCAAGGTGATGTGATCATTAAGAGGATATAAAAGTTGAATAAAAAGTGGCATTAGCACATGGGGAAACCTTCAGCATCACATGGGGAAGCCTTCAGCAACACAATCATTGCAGTCTGAGAATGTATTTATTAAGAAGGTATTTAGATTTCAAGGGGTTGCGTCAAGAACACCTCCATTTGTTGTTACCTAGTCATGACAGACATATCAAACACCTTGTGCCTGAATTCAATCAGTATTTAAGTGCTGCTTGAACTGAATAGAAAAGCAAATAGCTATTTAAGAACTGAAACATAGTATTCTCTTTGCACACCTAAGAAATTGTGACCAAGCTAGTCCAAGACAGTGACCAAGCTATTACTAGTTCCTAAATCATAAATAGTAGGTATCAAAGACATTTCACACACATTAGTAGCTATCATACAGTGAGTACAAAGAGGACTGGCTAGAACCAGTACTGCAAACAAGATCACAAAGACAGCCCCAACATGCCTTGATTCATGGTATACTCATGGAGACAAAAGGCTGTGCTGTTTACCTTATGGGAATTTTGTCGAATATCTCCTGTGCGCTATAGTTGTCGTCGATGTCCAGTTCAGCACTGGCTGGCGTTCCACATCTGATCTGTTGTAATTTATATTAAAAAAAGATACGTCAATTTAAAAACTTACTGCATCAAGAATGAACTAATATATGCTTTAAACATCCACATCAATTGGCCCTTATTGTATTGAAGAGGTTCAAGCGAAAATGAAAGAGACGAATCGAACCAGGAAATGCTATAGCTGGGAAACAGTTTTGTCAAGGTGCAGGTGCACATAGAATTGGTTTTTGCTGCTGTGCAGGGTCCAAGCCATCTCTTCGCAAATTGATTGTAGCCATCCCACCAAGATTGACAAAAAATCAGTCTTATAAATGGTTGACTCAAGCTTCAGCATGCATCATTGAGGACAAGCACCACATGAGCAAGAGGAAAAACACAAGGTGAAGACGAGCCCTTACCAAATTGAAGAAGAAGACACCATAAGGGGCTGCTGCGTGTGGGGAGACGTTCTGTTCGTCAGCTTGGATTGAACCTCAGTATGATCCTTCAATGGACGAGGGGCTGCTGCGTGCGGCGCTGGACGACCGAGACCTTCATTGCGAGGACCGAGCGCTCCATCGACGGGGACGCCGCGCCGGGGTCGCCGTGGGGGGGGGCGCTGTGGCTGTAGCGCTCGAGCTTCACGCCCGCGCCAGGGTGGCCGCAGCCACCGTGCTTGCGCTCGCCGCCCGCTCCGGGGTGGCCAGAGCCGCCACGCGCGCAACGCCGGTCGTGCCGGGGTCGCAGGGGCCGCTGGGGCCCCGTCCGCACCGGGATGTCCGAGACCGGAGAGGTCGGGGTCGCCGCGCCCGTACCTTGCCTGCGCCAGGGTCACCGGGAACGACGCGCACGCACCCCGCCCGCGCTGGGGCTGCTGGCCCACCGGGCCGCGTCGGGATGAGGGAGGTGCGGGGCGTCGGAATGAGGGAGGTGCGGGGGCGGTGGAGGACGGCTAGGTCGAGCGCGGCTGCGCCGCGCGGCTCTGTTTCCTCTGCACGACGGGCAACCCTCAGGAAGGTTAGTGGCTTTACAGGTCGACGCCCGAACCGACCCGCAATCGGACGGACCAGATCACATGAACGCTCGATCCAACAGCTAGCGGGTAAACAGGTGACGTGGCCCGATCCGCTGCCCGTTTTTTTGAGACAGGATTCCTACGTAGAGATATTAGAATCGGATACCAACAGAGACTTTACTGTTTTTCTATCATTATAAAGACCAATCGTCTAAACCATTTCGAAACCAACCGTGTGTGTGCCGTTAGAGATTTAAGAGTGTTCATGAGCAAGTTCAAAGCTACTATTCTAACTTTTTTCATTCACAAAATTTCAGCATGAATAGTTTTCTAGCATGAACGGTGCAAAATTTCATCCTGCCGAACACTCCCTTAGAATCGGATACAAATAGCACCAACGTTTTAGCGGATACGTGTTCCGTTGAGGCTGGGCCCACATCCAAGCTGACACACTAGCGAGTCATCGACATCTGTTCTGTTCGCTTCGCTAATAAATTATGATTGAAAATATATGTTATTGATTTTTTTGAACATCTTAACGACTTCAAATGAAAAAACTAAGGCTTACAAGAAAGTTGTAGCGATCGTCGAGATTCCATAATTGGAATATAAAAATTATTTTTATTTAATTCCGCAAAAAAATTATGATTTAATATGATTAATATATCTTAGAAAAATCGTTTCAGGCCGGCCGGTGGTCGGTGGCGGCTGCGGCTGGACCCGCGCTCGAGGTGCTGGAACTGGAAGTTGCGAGTCAGGAGGAATTTCCGGAAACCATGGGCCACAACGGTTTCGAAGGAATTTCCGTCTCCACGTACAGTACAGCAGCGTGGATTGGGTTCAGGTTGCGGGCGAAATACCGTTGCCTATAGGATTTGCTAACCCGCCCCGTTACGAGCGTTATAAATGACCACGGCCCCCCAACCCCGCACCCAAAAGCGAAGGGTTTCTTCCTGTGGCGCGCCCCTCGAAGTCTTTGCAGTTTGGTAGCCATTCTCTGATACTGCACGCCCTCTTGTGGGTAGCAGGGTCCCCCGGGTAATTTCGTACGGGTTCTTCAGGAGAAAGCCTAGCAGGGTCCCCCGTGTGGCCGTGTCCTGCTGCTCAATTCGGGCTTATACAAACATATGAGAAACCTCTTCTTACGCCGTTTCTTCCTTTTGATCGGTCACCGGCAGAGGTTCTGAAGGTGTTTTGACTTCAGAATTTTGCCGAAAATCACGGGCTTCCTCCTTGATCTACCGTTCTGAGAAAAGAGAGGTCTCCCTGCTCAGATTTGTTGGATCCTAATCCTGTCAACAAATTCGAGTTGCTTGCTCCCATCTTGTCTTGTTTAACACCATAATTACTCTGGTGTTTAGCTTGCTCCGTTCGGATTCTTTGGCCCGAGTGTCCAGCTCATATCTTTGCCCTGCGCAAACTCTGAAACAAACACAATGGTTTCCCTCTTGGATGCGACCGTGTTTCTGCTCTGCTTCGCCGTCGCCGGCCTCCACGTCCTTGATTACCTTCTTGCCATCTGCCCGCACAGCGTGGGCGGCGCCGTCGCGCTCCTTGCCCTCCCTACAGCTTACTTTACGGGTGTGATCCTTGTTTACCTCCAAATCGCGCCGGCGCCACGCGCGCCGGTGTCGCAAGTTGTTGCTTTGAGGCTGCTCGCCGCCATGGCATGTGCCCTGCTTCTCCTTGCTGCCATCATCATGTTCATGCCGCTTGCGCCTTGGCTGTTCAGTATGTGAGCACTTTGCCAAGCTATGGGAAGAAGAAATCGTTTAGTTTGGAGAGGAAATTTTAGTATGTTCAAGTTATGAGTGAATCGTCCAGTATTGTGAAGCTGTAGTCTCCCGTGAGCAACTCTGAGTCCATGCGACCACGAGGTTGTTGTATGTTCTTGCTTTGACTGAGATGTGGAGCCTTCCGATTGCTTGCTTGTGGTGAGCCACCGTCGTCCTGGTTCAGTTCAGTCATCTCCTCGTGGTAAGGAACGTTTCCCCATTTCCTGCTCGGTGTGAAATTAAGAAGATGGAAATAAGCAAATCTGTGAGGATATTCTCGATCGAGTCCGCGAACTCGATGGATTTGTTCAATCTCAGATGCATGCATGTATGTGTCATGCTATTTATGTATTCATGTGTGTAAACTTCACTTGTACTCACAGTTGTACTACGATGAAATGTTGAATGTCTCTCTCGGTCTCTTGGTTCTTGCTACAAAAGGAAACCCCAGAGAATCATCAGCCTGTTCGGGAGGCCGTATCGTATCGTGGATTATTTACTGCTGGCTGGTTTGGTGTGAAAGAAAAACACTGTTCCCGACTGGAAATTTACGATCGTTTACGAGCAAGCGCACAGCACAACTTAATACTATGAACCAACATTTATTTCCATTTATTACAGAGAGAACATATCTGTGCATTGTCACTGCTAAAAAAAGATTTGTTTCTAGTCTCAAATGGCTGTGAAAAAAAATACAAGGGAAAAGGGTATGCTCTTTCCTGATTTCATTCCTTATCGACCAAGCTAAGCATCTTTGGGTGGCCGGTGGCCCACTAGAGTTGAGCGATGGTTCTCTATTCCTACTCTACGACGTTAAGATCACGGTAATTGTTACTGACATGTGGGTCCTTGGTTCATCGGGCCCACGTGTAAGCGGCAAAGTCACGGGCCCTCAACGCGACATGGGCCTTGTTCGGCTGGCTGGTGGATGGCCACTCACGAAATCACTGTTCACGTGAACAGTATTTTCAGACAGAACAATATTTTTCTCTCGCAGCAATCAGTCGGAACACTATTTTGTCTTATTTTTCAGTCCTGCCGAACAGGCCCATGGACAACCAAAGGCCAAGTATTTCACATGAAAAAGGACCTCCTAACTATTTTTAAATTTTAACGAAGCTTCTGCAGTTCCTGAGCAATGATTTGGGTTAAAGTTCGGCCAAACAAGATTAAACGTGGCTTGAAAAAAAAGGAAGATAAAGAGGCAGCAATTGTACTTTGTCAATAAGAATACATTTCATATATATAGGCTGTGTTCGGCTGGCTGGCTGATTGATTACTGGCCAGCCACCTTATAAAATCACTATTCACGTCCTGCCACAACAGTATTTTTCTCTCACAACAATCAGCCGAAACAGTGTTTTTCAGTTCTGCCGAACAGTCTGATAGTTGCCCAACTTCATATACTTGAGAATAAGGCGCTAATTTAACGACTATATTAATAACAACAGCAGAAGAGTAGAAAACTAGGGAACATAGCAGCAGCCGCCGCTACGCGGCCAGATAGTATTTTTTACAAGGGCCAGAAAGTGAAAATGAAGTCCGGCTAGAAGAAGAACGCTTGTAGGAGCTGATCCAGCCGGTCTAGACTCTAGACACTGAAACTTAATTTGCTATGGAACAACAACGCTTCTAGAAATCGATCCACACGGCCCAGCAGACAGTGAAATTCAAGTCCGGCTGGAACAATGCTTCTAGAGGCTGAACCAAACATAACTCACCTTGTGTAAATTAAAATATAGCATGTACCTGAGAATAGATCTCTACAACTTCGCTCTGGTACAGTGCGCAGCCCTGAAAGTAAGTGAAACAGCCATCTTCCGTGTCCAGTATGTTGTTTGTTGCAGTACACCACAAGCCCAATGGTTCACTGCCGGTGCCGTCGCGCCGACAGCCTTGCTGGCTTGTTGCATAGAGTACCTAGCCGCCGAGACGCGATCCTTTCTTTGCTGTATCTGCCAGTCGATCACTGCGTAGTCCAGAATCCCCGGTTGTTGTACTCTGCGGTTGCTCTGACGACTGATCGAGGCCATTGTAAACCTCCTGGAACTGAAAGGGGCAAGCTCTGCAAGCTGCTAACAACAAACTGCTCGCATGCTCTGCCTTGATGTCCAATGCCCCGATGAGCTCTACCAACAGGCAACAGCCATCAGTCATCAAGGCATCCCATTCGCGGATGAGAGATCCTCAATTCCTCATTAGCTTCTTGCCTGTAACTTGATCCTTGACTTGGAACGAAGGAAGCCAGGAAGTTCATCCATCGGCTAATTAAGACGCGACGGAGCTCTCGAAGTTGGCCGAAGTGCGTATGTGTGTAGCGCACGCCCTAGCAGATGTGTGCGCTATATATGGCCCGGGCACGAGATGGACAGGCTGGAATTATTAATCGTCGACGGACCAAGCAGGCGGCGGAGACGCCGGAGAGCGACTTTTGGTGCCTCGACCATTTCTTTCTTGGCGACTAAGGTTCCACGTCAACGCTGGAAATTTCACGGAAGCTTCGCCAGGGTAATTTTCTACTGCCCAGGAAACTTCGCGGAAGCTGCCTGCGGAGACCGGAGGGGGAGAACCAGCGGATGGATAGCAGCGACGACGTCGAACGGGAGAGCAATCGGAGGGAAAGTTTCGCGGAAGCTCTCTGGCTGGAGAGTTCTGCGAGAAGCGCTGGGCGGCGGCGGCGATAACGATGCTGGCCATTTGAGCGTCGGCGCGTCGCTGGATGCAGCACATCCAAATCTACCTAGTTTCCGTTCCGTTCCGGCAATGGTTTTCCGCCTCTCGATGATGGTGAAACTCGTCCAAATGCTGCGAGGGTCAATCGGCTTGGAATGGTTGGTTCAAAGTTCAAACTTGAACACACGCCCGGTTCGGAACTTCGGATCAGCTACCGCTATTTCTTTATCTTGGTTCCTGGAACGGGAGAAGCAATCTTTTCCTCGCATCATGATCATGATGGCCTCCACTTCCAAGTTGCAACCGGGCGTTTTCAATTTATTAATTATTATTATACTCCTATATATATACCTACACACATATGTACTAGAAAATCTAAGCTGGTCGATGTCAATCTTGCTGTCCTGACACTCCTGCGTCGTGCTCTTGCTGGGATTTGTTCAGTGGTTCATGGTCACTGCAGTTTGATAGCGCGTGCTGCGCGCAATTGCGGAGGGCCAGCGACTCGCGATTCCGTGGAAACGAGTCGGCCCGACGATTTAGAAAAGGGCGGCCATTGTTTTCTTGAGGAATTTCAAAGGGCCATTGTTTTGATAACAAACTCACATCACGTGTCAAACGGTCAGACTCGAAACCCGTAATTCTGCAGGAGTATTTGTTGTGTATAGCCAGCCTGTTCGGTTGACCGGTTCGTTTCGTTGCTGGTTCGTGAAGAAGTACTGCTTGCTGGTTTGTGTGAAAGAAAAATACTGTTCTGACTATAAATTTACGATCGTTTACGACAAAGCCACGACCAAACGAACAGGCAAGTATAAGTTCTCTCGTGTCAAAAACGCGTTCTGATGAGATATTGAGATGAAACCCGCCAAATTTAGTACTACTAGTTCTGTCAATACTGAACAAAACAGAATAAACAAAAGATGACAGCCGTCAGATGTTTTTCCCCATTTTCTTGATTCGCTTTCGCTTCGTCATCTAGTAGCAAGTCCACACACCACGCATGTACTACTAGTATTAGGCCCCGTTTAGATGCGGAAATTTTTAGTTTTTGGCTACTGTAATACTTTCGTTTGTATTTGGTAAAAATTGTTCAATTATGGACTATTTAGGTTTAAAAGATTCGTCTCGCCAATTATGGACAAACTATGTAATTAGTTATTCTTTTTAGCTATATTTAATGCTCCATGCATGTGTCGCAAGATTTGACGTGACGAGCAATCTTGAAAATTTTTGGATTTTGGGTGGGATCTAAACAGGGCCTTAGTTGTTCACCCGAGCTCTTCAAAGTAAGGCTAATATGACAATGATACAATTAAGACGTCTGGACGGATGGACGTCTTCCACTGCTCATTCTCGTACGCGCCGCTCGTCCAGTGACTCTATCCGCTCGTCTCGTCCGCGCAGCCCGATGCTTACTGCATGGTTTCCTCCCTACGTCGTCGTGCCCATCGCCCACCCATTCTGCTTCGCCGCCGTGCCGCGCCTCATCCCCTACGGCCTCCTCCATGCTGCCTCCCCGCGCTACCTCCTCCGAGCAGCATTCCCCACCGGGTCCAATATGCCTCGCTTGCCTCAACCGCGATGCCTCTTCGCCGCGGCCGGCCCGCTCGCCGCGATTGCCTCCATCGAGCTGGCGAGCCACGGCCGCCTCCACCAAGCCGACGAGCCTCCACGACGGATGCTCCAAAGAGGCGAGGGGGACAAGATTCATGTGACGCCACGGCCACCGACAAGTTGCCCGTGCTGCCGCCGCACAACGAGGTCCATGCGCCGCCGTCGACCTCCGCGCTGGCGTGCCTCCATTCGTCCAAGCAAAGCCCATGTTGTAAGAGTATGTTTCAAGTGTTTTAGATATTTCATCTGGATGTTGCAGGTGTTTCGTCTTGATGTTGCAAAAGTAGATCGGTGTTGCACATGTTGCAGTGCCTATACACATATGTTTTAAGTGTATGTTCCAAATGTTTCATCTCCTTTTACAGACATATGCTTGCAAGTGTTTCATTTGGATATTGCATATGTTTTCACACATATGAAGTGTTTTCAGGTGTTTTTTGCAAGTGTTTCATTTGGATATTGCATATGTTTTCACACATATGAAGTGTTTTCAGGTGTTTTGTTGCAAGTGTTTCATACGCATGTTGCGAGTGTTTCAGCTGTTTCGTACGTGCAAGTGTTTCATCTTGTTGTTTTAAAAGTAGATCTGGTGTTGTAGATAGTGTTTCAGATGTTATGTTGCATCCGGATGTTTTAAAAGTAGATCGGGTGTTGCATCTTTATCTCGCTTTTCTGCCGCCTCACGTTCGCCTCGGTGTCTCCTCCTCCTCCCGGTGCCGGCTGGCCATCCGTCATCCCCTTCCCCTTTTTTGGATGCCGACGTAGCCACCTGCTGTAGTCATCAGCTGTAGCTGCTGGCCGCGTGCATGCGTATGAAAAGCAGAGAGGGGACGCGAACGGGACTCCCCCATATGCAGTTGGGCGGCGCAGACCCCGCGTAGAAGGGCACAGGATCCAAGTGGCAGGTGCGCGGGAAGAGACGACGTGCAAACGTGGGCGGACGTCCATCTAAACGTCCAGACGCTAAAAAATGTTTAGGCGAGTCACGTCGTGCCATACAAAATATTTTATAGTATATATAATTTTTTTTCTGTATTCACACCCCGCTGGCCCAAGTGTCTGCACCCACAGCCCAACTGGAGAGAGCCCACAGCTGCTTGCAAGTTGCAACTCGGCAGCCCAAGCAGCCAGCAGCATCAACTCACGCACGTACCCTGGCCGGCCGCCCAATCGCACGGAGCAGGCTTGCGGACGCTTCGACTGCAAGCTTCGCCCATCGCTTCGACTGCACGCCTCCTCTCCTCGCTCCCGCGGCCTTCTCTGTCGTTCGTCGCTCCACCTTCTCGGCTTATCCGAATTTGACGACCACGGCTGGCCGTCGCAAGCAGCAGGGCCAGGGCGCACCGGCCAGCGCCCAGCCAGCCACCAGAAGCGCAGCAAGGCAGCAAGCAGCAGCGTACTCAGCAGTCAACACGCCTCTCTCCTCTTTGTGTCCATCCTAGAGTAAGCAACTACAAACAGAACATGTCTTTAAGCATTTGAGCACAAATTTTAGCCACAACTTCAAATATTCTTCATTGTTTCAGAGTTTCAGTTTTCATCAATTTGACCATCCAATGATTTTAATTTTGTAATTCCTGTCTTTTCTCTGGGAACTTTGTACAGATTCTAGGGTTATGATTTTTTTTGTTCTTCCTATGATATTTGATTATTGATATTTATAAAAGCAATCAAAGTAACTAAAATTTAAACATTCTTGTGGATGCTATGAAAAACATGGAAAGGTTTTTGAAAAGAAAAGCACCGGGTATTAATTGGGAAGAGGAGATCAAATATGACCCAGGCTTAAGAAAGGAAATTGATTCTTACCATCCAAATCATAGAGAGAAGGTGAAAAGAAAATATTTGAAGAATGGACCATGCCAACCTCGCACATGCACTTTTCCCTCTACACATATTGGAGAAAAAGACAATCCAAGGAGGTTTCAACCGGAATGGTTTGATGAATTTGGAGGTTGGCTTGAATACAGTGAATGATGTTGTGATTCATCGCTTCGTGAACATGAAAGGAGAAGGGCATAGATTTGATCTATAAGAGCTAATGCACCTTTTTTCAATTTTTCAATGATACATTATATAAATTGTTTGCTTACAATGAATGGTTTATTTCTTTTTTAGTGAGGATTTCGTGGTTAAGGATTGTATTTTGCCAATGCAGACAATCTTTTGTTGTCATAATTGTGGGATTTGCTTACTACATTTTGATGAATGGTAAGCACAAATATATTATTACCGCTACTTTATTGTTGATCTACCTCAATATTGCTTGTTTTAAACTATTCATCCTAAAATTATGGGTATGGTGCTATTAAGTTGCATTATTGTTCTATCGCCACAAGCCGCATCCCCCTCCATAATTCTCTAGCTCCACCACTGGTGCCAGGGTCGGCGGGTTTTGATATGTTCTCTCTGGCGGTCTACGCCTATAAAAGCGGGT